CGATGAGCTCCTGCAGGGCGGCGGAAGAGCCGCGGCGGCTGTTGCCGGCGGGGTCGAGGGCCGCGGCGACGACGAGCTCAGTGGCGAGGACCTGGAGGATGGAGACGTCCGCGTCGTGCACGCGGGCGGCGACGACGGCAGCGGTGGGGACCTGGAGCAGCTCCGCGGTAGTGTAGCGCCGGGCGAGGGCCCAGATGCCGAAGCAGGCGGCGTCGCGGACATTGGTGCCGACGGAGCCGCCCGAGGTGCTGCGCTTCTCGAAGGAGAGACCGAGGAGGAGCCCGTGGACGATGTCCGGGAGCTGCGAGGCAGGTGGGGAGCGGCGGTAGAGGAGGTGGGAGAGGGTGAGCATCAAGCCTTGCCACTCGAGGGGATCAACGGCGGCGAGGTCGCGGGTGGAGGTCTTGGTGCCGGGATCGCGGGTCCAGAGGACATTGCGGTTGAGGGAGTCGAGGACGGCGTCGACGACCTGGGAGGCCATGTCCGGGTCGAGCTTCAGAGTGACAATGCTGAGGGCCTTGGAGGCGGCGAGACGGACCGGGGTGTCGTTGTCGGCGAGGCACTCGAGGAGGTAGCCGATGGAGGCCTCGATGAGCTCGGTGCTGTGCGGGTCCGGCGGGGTCTTGCGGAGGAGGAGGACGGTGATGGAGCGGATGACCTTGATGAGCATCTTGCGGGCGACGGCGGAGGAGCGGATGGAGGCCGCAACGACGATGTTTCCCCCTCCTGCGGCGGCGGCCTCGGCGGACGCGACCGAGTGTGCGGCGAGGAAGATGGGCGAGAGGTAGGCGTCCATGTCGGAGGTGTTTATGGAGGAACGGAGGACGCCGGCGAGGAAGGAGAGGATGCCGATGTAGAAATACGGCGGCTGCGGCGGGGCGGACCGGTCAGGGGTCAGGGAGGCGAGGGACCAGCGCACCAGGGCGGAGAGGACGCCCAGGAACTGCATGTCGCGGCGCATGGCGACGCGGACGAGCAGGGCGCGGGCGCCGTCGCGCTCTTTGCCGGACGAGGCGAGATACTTGATGGCGAGGGGGAGGATGCGGACGGTGATGCCGGGGAGGTTCTCGGGCCATTCAAAGCCTGGCATCTCGGGAAGGGTGAGGTCCGGGTCGGCGGAGGCGGAGGAGATGCTGGAGAGGTCGAAGGGGGCGAGGAGGAGGTGGGAGAGCCAGAGGAGAACAAGATAGCGCTCTTCCCAGGACCATTGCGCCGAGTTCGCCGGCGGCGACTCGTTGGGTGATCCGGCGGTGCTGCCGGGAGTGGCGCCAGCGCGCTCGGCGGACTCGAGGGCCGAGAGGAGGGGCTCGATGTGGCGGGACTCGACGTTGAGGAAGCGGACGATGACCTTCTCGCCGCGGATCTTGGTGAAGGTGTATATGAGCTTGGCGATGGCAAGGCCCAGGGGCTCGAGGAGCTGCGAGCGGGTGGAGGACGGGGCCGATGTGGACGGAGCCGACGCCCGGGTTCGGGCGCGGGTGCGGGCGTTGAGTTGGGCGAGGTAGGTGGATGCGAGGAGGGGCAGCCAGGTGGGCAGGTGGGGGTCCAGGAGTTGCGGGAGTTCCTGGAACGGATCGAGGAGCTGTGACGACGGTCAGAATCATGGACTTCTGGATTTGAGGGAAACGGGAACGGGTGATGGCGGGTGGGTTGGTATTTACACTCGAAGTCAGGCGTGCCGTCTCAGATACGCGGACACGGGTGCGGAAGGTCTTGCCGTCGGGCTTCCGAAGGAAGAGGGGCAGGGAGCGGGAGAAGTCCGCAATGAGATCGGACGATACTCTCTGCAGCTTGATGTCGCTGTCGTCTTCTTGGGCGTCCATGGTGGCAGAGCTGGCGGTTTAGCTTGATGAGGAGCAGTGTCATTACATGTCCATGAGGGGATGAGCAGGAGTGAGGCGTAGGGTGAGTCGGTGAGGGGCCGGCTTCGATGGGGCGGGCCAGAGAGTTCCTTTTATGATGATTCTGTAAAACACTCGTAAGTTTGAGGCTGGGCGGATCGGTGGGGATGAGATGCTGTCGTTCCGGGCTGGGAGACGGCAGTCTTCCAACCGATGATGGAGCTCTGTCCGAATGAGTGAGTGAGGATTAAGAAGTGGGTATTTAGGCAATGAGGATCTCACAGTATTGAAAGGACATATCGGTAGTTTTGCACTGTGCTTACCTCCATATCTCTTTCCTTGTCAATGTATCGTCATGGGTACACTATTCCATTTCAACTGCTACTGATATGCTAAACATCATCTGGTAACTATTAGGATCAGGAGCAATGATGGCTGATCGGTTATGAGGAGCTATGGTGGCAATCCCTAACGAACTCAGGCTTTGAATAGTCAGAACGCATTTTGCATTTGCCATCTGCTGGATCTCAAACATCTAATCGACTCTGGAGTGTTGATGAAATCGAAAGGAAGTGTAGCCAATCTTGGACATTTGATATCGGAAACAGTTCCGCTTGACAGCATCAGAGCGTTGACTGTGTACCACCAATCAAATTCTGCTTATCCCTCGGGGTGTACTGCAACTCTGTCTGCAATGCTATTGCGGCACAATCCAACGGGAGGTATGTGGGTTCCATAGAGAGAACCTCACATGGGGCTATATCTCCATTCTCAACGGAGAGTATACCACTGCAGGCCGGATCGTGAGAAAGTGGAAAGTTTCTTTCCGGGACGGGGAGGCCTCGCCGAGGAGAAGGTCTCTAGTTCCGAAAACCTGCGTGCTTGCGGATTCATATATGAGCCGGGGGATCTTTCGAAAGGCCGATGTCAATGAACACCAACGCTTACGGCTACTGTCCGTCAACCGTCTATCGAGTTTATGGCAGCTCAGCTTACGTTGAACCCGTATTTGGTATTTCTACAAGAAGCGGTATTCGACTTGGCCAATCATGCGAGGTTGTACTGTCACTATTAGAGATTATCATCATCAATCAAGTATTTGGCCTCACATTGACCTTTCCTACGGGCCGCATTAGCAGCTCGAGAGTGTTTACTCTCACAGGTGGGCCGAATCAACAGCATGATTTGATGCAAGAGTTCAAATATCTGAGGCGGGTCCAGAGGCACTTGCTTTTCATCGCATTATCTTACGTGCACCGCCGAGACAACCATGATATCAACCTCCGATTGTATCGTTGCTATCGTCCAGCCCCTTTTCACTCGTCTTGGAGCATACGATCAACCTAGGAGTCACCGCATTTCCAAGGTAATTGGTCAGTTCGCCCGGGGTTCTTTTGAACAAGTTCACCCTCTGTTAACCCTATCCGTATCCTCAGGGGTCGCACCATGGATACTGCTTAGTCCAATAAGCCAGAAACAAGCCCTCTGGGACTATGCACCGCAGAATAAAGTGCGGGGAGACAGCATCCAGAGAGCCGTCTCTTCATGTACCGGTACAAGCTCTAGACGTCTTCCGAACAAGCTAGATGGGGTGGGTTTACTCAGCTCGCGTCTGTGTGGTGGAAGTATGCAATGCGAAGACGCAACCTTCACACGAATGGTTATTGGATCTGGGTTGATTAGGATCATCGTGTAAGCAAAACGTATATTCGAGAGTGCCCAGGGGCGACGGTAAGCCCTCAGTTCCGGATCCGATCCATGACTGCCGATGTCTACGATACCAAGATGCCAGACTCTCTCATAGTGCGTCTTGTTCCTTCACATACTATCGTTTACAACAACGAGGCCCTATGGCAGATCATCGTCAGAGCCAGAGTGCAAGTAGCCAGTGGCACATCTACATGTAAGCCTGGATGCACTAAGCCACTGTACCGTGTACTTCGGCCACCTACTCTCCATACTGACTCGCTGTGTTCAGGAGAGGGTTGCGATTCAAGACATATTGGGCTATTTTGGTTACTCTGTCAAGAAAACAGTAGACTTGGGATGCGGCGAAGTTTCCGGCTCCGGTCTCCCAGCGGTGCACACAGTTCCCGTTCGCGACAAGGAAACGCATGCAACCAAAAGAAACGGCACTCCCCGAGTGCCATCGTGGTGTGATAGTACGCGCTGAAGGCCCTGGGAAACAAAACTCAACAGCCACTAGATTTCGTATACTTTGGGGCCTTGCTTGCGGCCACTTCGGTCCGGGGTGTCGAGGACCTTTCTTGAGTTCTGTCCAATCGTGGGCAACCCCCCCCCCCCCCCCCCCAAATTAAAATGTCTCCAAGCGAATGCCGATAGAAAGTGTACTATGTACATGTCAAAGCAAATAAGATCAAATAAATAAAAACAAATAATAGAACAGAAACTACAGGATCGGTAAGAACGCCACAAATCAGACCCGGCGGCCGAGCCCTCCTGTCACGCCATGCCCGGCAGTTCTCTTTCCCGCATGAATAACGTGGCACCCGGCTCCTTCCCTCAAGCGTCTAAAGAGTCTTCCGTGATGAACGCAGACCGTGTAAGTAACCGGGAAGGGCGGCGGGGGCATCGTCCATCGACGCCCTCCGTTCTCTAGCCCGCACCATCCCACCCCTCACGGCTTCGACATATCCTGCGGTATATGCCTGGTAGGCACGGCTATATATGTGTACTTTGACACGCAAGGCAGAAAGGGGTAAGGCCTTGACGTGTCCCTGGATTGTGGTTTTGGTTTACGCCCCCCCCTTTCCATCCCTTCTCTTTTCTACTGGGACGAACCCGGACATGGATGATGACGGGTATAACATCATAGCGGCCGGCCGATATCAGATCCTCATCGACAGCCCCTCCTCTCCCCCTTCCATGGGTCCGGCATGTTGGTCATTTTTTGCATTCCGCAACGCCATAAAAGGGGTTTCTTATTACACGGTCCATCTATAATACAAAAGCAGATGCCATAACCCCCCCCCCTCCCTAACCCCAGCAACCCCATCCATAAAAGCACGCCCCCTGGCTCCCCCTTAAGAAGTCGACCCAAAACACGTCTTTCCGTGCACTCGGGGTACTGTGTATGCTCTGTTGCCGTATTTGCATTCGTTTGTTTATTCCTTCAACCGTCGTCCCTTTGTCCCCGTTGCCCCGTCGTCACCGTGTCGTCAAGTCATCAGTTTGTTTTGCTGATACATCATCACGTCGCGTGATGCCACGGCCTCCCTCCCCCGTTCAGAGCATGTTTAGTGTTGTCGCTCAAGATCGCGCCGACCGCGCCCGCAAGCATCGCCCTCGGCCGCTTGTTTCGTCGACGAGCCTCGACGTCGGCTCGAGAAGAAGTAAAGAGCCCTCAAAAAGCCTGGTGTCAAGCTTCTGCGACAGGCATCGACGGCCAGTCGGGCTATGTCGGAAAGGATAAGTGAGAGGATTACCCGCCTACTATGCTGATCAAGACGAGGCTCATAGATAATGTAGAAACGAACAAGAGAGAGGGGGAGAGAGAGCGTGTGTGTGTGTGTGTGTGTGTTACGACAGGGAAACGAGGCCGTTGACAAGGCCTTCAAAAGTCCTCGTCCATGAAACACCGGTAACAGAAGAAGGCACAGCAGGCAAACACCCAAAGAACACGCGTATTGGGGGCGCCCTTGATATGGGCCTTGTCGATCGGTGGTGTCGAGCGCCCGCGGTCCGCCTCCTCCCCCTCCCCCTGGCGGCCGTGCTCCTCGTCGACGAACCGCACGCGGTTATAATGGTCCTGGAACGGGACGTACGTCGGCGGCGGCGGCTGCCGCACCTTCTGCACCGACTCGGTGCCGGCGACGGCGGTGCTGGCTTCGGTGCCCATCGTGTTCGTCGTGTCCGCCGTGCCGGGCGCCGGAGGCACTTTCATCAAGAGTTGCCGTCTCGGCTGGTCGATGTGCGGGAGCGGCGGCGGCGGCGGTGACCGTGACGGCCGCGACGGCGGGACCCCTCGTCCGAATCCACTGCTGTTACCACCATCGCCGCCGCCACCGCCGCTACAATCGCTATCTTCCACTCCTCCTCCATGTCGCTCATGGCCACCGCCACCATCCAGCGAGGGAGCATAAGAGGAGTAGTTGGAATAGATGGAAGCCGAGTTGCGGTGGGGCTGGTGTTGGCCGACGAGGACGCCCGAGCTGGCTCGCTCGCTGGCTCGTTCGCCGTTGCGGACGCGGCCGTTGTAGTTGAAGTCGCGCAGCCCGCGCTCGCCGCCGGGGTTGGGCGCTCGCTCCGCCTCTTCCGACGCCGCGAGGCCGCCTTCTTCGTATTGTTGTCCATCCTGCATCTGCTGTATGTGCCGCTTCTGCAAGTCCTGTAGTTCGTGCAGGGGCAGTTCCGGACGTTCCATGGTATCGCTAGGGTGTGACACGGAAAGGAGGTTCGCCAAAGGGAAGTTCGCCAAACTTGCGTCGTCGGCGCAGCCCTCTTTCTCGGGCGGGCTGGTTGGGCCGCAAAGAGTGTGGCAAGCAACCTCGAGAAAGGAGGGGGCGACCTGTGTCAAACTGACGGGAGACCCCTACCTACTCAGCATCCGGTATGACGCTCATGGCAGACATGATGAGATCACTTGCGGCCTCGCTGGCCGAACGGGCACAACCAAACTCGTGCTTGGTTTGGCGACTGGGCCTCCAGATACCGTGAATCGACGCCGCCGCAGACAGAAATCCGAACGAACACCTGATTAAGACGGATGATGAACCCCGGGTCCGAGACAGAGACACGCTCGTCTTTGGGCACAGTCCGGCTGGGCCTTACTACTACCAGCGCGCGGAGCGGCTGTGCACGGGGCATTTCATCCAGTCTACGAACGTAACCTACAAGTACATTGACTTTGGAGGGAGGGCCTGGGCTGAAGCTTCGTCTTTGCAGCTCATGACCTATGTATGACCCGCCTGCGTCTGATACGGGACTGTCTTGCTTGCGGCCTCTTGGGTTTCCTCTTCCAGGGGACAGGCATTGTGCGGAACTCGCAGGTTGGCCAAAAGAGGAGAGAGCCTATGTTGCTTCTCTGCAACCCCCCCGCGGGGCAGAGGAGAAACCCTAGATGTTCCATCACAGCGTAGCGCGCATCCAGCACAACGTCATTCAATATTTTGGCCTGCGTCTAAACCAGTCGTCGAATGGTAACCGACGATTATTTGCCGCGGACGAGACTTGGACGGACAAACTACATGTTCCCCGTGCAATGAAAGGCGGTGTTGCTGACCGGCAAACCGATGTTTCGTGCACACGCCGTCGTCTCGTGTGCAACATGACCCCCCCCCAGCCCATGAGTGACGACGGTGTTGCCGCGGCGGGGCTCTGTGAAAACCGCGGCCGGGCGATGCCGGGCGATGCCGACGATGAACGGCCGGGCGAAGGTCCCAGGCCATCGTGTCCCGTCGGTTTCGGGGGAGGCAGGGTCAACCAAGGTCCGTTGAGCAATACCCCGAAGCTCGGGGCCATCTTCGCCACTCCTTCGAGTCAGTCGTGCCGGGCCAAACAAGGAAAAGAAAAGGGAGGGTCTCCGGTGGGACATGTCATCGTCGGAACTCTGGACAACTCAAGTGGCCTGGGTGACTCTTTTCCTCTCCCCCCCCCCCAAGGCCATGACGACAGACGCTGCCTTCGGCGATTGGTTGGAGCAAGGTCCGATCCGTCCGCCGCGGCTGGTGGTCAATGCCGGATTGCCTTTCGCTCGGTGTTTGATAAGAATCGCCGCGTTGGATTGGGATGCCCATGGCACGTTGCAGCAATTCCAGTATCGCGGCACGCGCGGGGCAACAGGTTCCAACTCGCGGCATGCCCGTCTGGTCATGCCTCTGGAATACAGCCGGCTGATCAGACTCTAAGAAGCGACAGTAAAGGTTCTCGGCTGATTTGCAAACCGCCGCGCGTTCTTAGCCGTTTGGAAATTGCCGGAACGGAAATGCGAAGCCTCAACAAAAAAGAAAGAAAGAAAGAACGAGAGAGAGAGAGAGAGAGAGAGAGAGAGAGAGAGAGAGAGAGAGAGAGAGGAGGGAGGAGGA